TTTCTTTAATAGTTTATTTATTTTTGAGACAGAGCATGAGCGGGGGGAAAGGCAGAGAGAGGAAGACACGGAATCCAAAACAGGCTCCAGACTCTGAGCTGCCAGCACGAACCCAACGTGGGGCTCAAATCCACGAACCATGAGATCATGACCTGAGCCGAAGTCAGACACTTAACTGACTGAGCCACCCAGGCGCCCCAGATTTTATTTTTAAGTAATCTCTATACTCATCGTTGGGGTCGAGCTCACAACCCTGAGATCAAGAGTCACACACTCCACTGACTGACCCAGCTATGTGCCCATGGAAATTTTTATCACTAGACTGTAAACTACATGAGAGCAGGGACAGACCTTGTCTGTCCTGTTCATACACAAATCTATGAAAATATTGGAAATCTTTATAGGAATTTCAAAGGAATTGAAAAAATGAATGTACACCAAGCAATGGATGGGGAGAGTAAGGTGGGAAGAAAAGCTAACAGTTACATTGCCTGAATCTTTTATTTTTATTTTTTTTTTACAAATAGTTTATTTGTCTGAATCTTTTAAAATAAGAATGTAGTCAGCGCGCCTGGGTGGCTCAGTGGATAAAGTTTCTGACTTAAGCTCAAATCGTAATCTCGTGGTTGGTCAAGTTTCTCATTTAAACTCAGGTTATAATCTTGGGCTCTGTGCTGGTGGTGCAGAGCCTGCTTGGGATTCTCTCTCCTTCTCCCTCTCTCTCTCTGCCCCTCCCCCATGTGCTGTCTCTCAAAATAAATAAGTAAACAAACTTAAAAAAGAATAAAACGAGGGGTGCCTGGGTGGCTCAGTGGGTTAAGCATCTGACTTTGGCTCAGGTCATGATCTCCTAGTTTGTGATTTTGAGCCCCACATCAAATTGTGCTGACAGCTCGGAGCCTGGAGCCTGTTTCAGATTCTATGTCTTTCTCTCTATACCTCTCCTCCATTCGCACTCTCTCTCTCAAAAATAAATAAACGTTAAAAAAAAAAAGGGGGGGGGGCGCCTGGGTGGCTTAGTTGGTTAAGCGTCGACTTTCGCTTGGGTCATGATCTCGCGGTTCGTGGGTTCGAGCCCCGCGTCGGGCTCTGTGCTGACTGCCAGCTCAGAGCCTGGAGCCTGTTTAGGAGTCTGTGATTCCCTCTCTCTCTGACCCTCCCCTGCTCACGTGGTCTCTCTCTCTCTCTCTCTTCTAGAAATAAATAAAAACATTAAAAAAAATTTTTATAAATAAATAAACGCTAAAAAATAAAATAAATAAAAGGAGAATGTAGTCATGTATTACTTGTGAAAAAAGGAAGGCTAAGAAATAAAGCAAAGAATCAGTACCCCTCAGGGTTCTATATTCTTCAGACCAGACCCTTCCTCATATTCTATTTTTATTCTGCATACTTTCCCTTTGTGGCCTTTAAAAACCCCTGGTGTCAGTTTACCATCTTTAGGATTTCTACTTGCGATCTCAAACTCTACATGTCCCATGCTAGGATCATTGTCTTTCTTCCCTAATTCTGATCTTTTTATTCAGATTCTTATTTTGATGAATACATGTGTTTATGCACATGTAACATACCAGTTCTTATTTTGATAAATAAGAATTCACCACTAATTATCCAAGGCAGAAACAAAGGAGTCATATAGATTCTTCTCTTAGAAGAAGAAAGAATATAGATTTTTTAAAAAATATTTTTATTTATTTCTAGGAGAGAGAGAGACAGCGTGAGCAGGGGAGGGTCAGAGAGAGAGGGAGTCACAGACTGAAACAGGCTCCAGGCTCTGAGCTGGCAGTCAGCACAGAGCCCGACGCGGGGCTTGAACCCACGAACCGCGAGATCATGACCTAGGCGAAAGTTGGACGCTCAACCAACTAAGCCACCCAGGCGCCCCTAGATTTTCTTTTAAATGCCTTTATTTGAGCCTTTATACTTCTCTCTCTCTCTTTTTTTTAATGCTTATTTATTTTTGAGAGAGTGAGCAAGCACAAGCGGTGAAGGGTCAGAGAGAGAGAGGGAGACAGAATCTGAAGCGGGCTCCAGGCTCCAGCTGTCAGCTCTGAGCCCGATGTGGAGCTTGAACCCACAAACTGTGAGATCATGACTGAACCCAAGTCAAATGCTTAACCAACTGAGCCACCTAGGCACCCTTGAGCCTTCATACTTTCTGAATTTTTACAGTAACCTCCCAAAAAGGTCTCACTTTCTCTTATCTTCCCTACCCCCTACTTTTTCTACACTGCTGCCAGAATTATCTGGCAAAATGAAAACTGATCATGTCTCTTTCTTTCTTAAGTCTATTTGTTTATTTTGAGAGAGAGAGAGAGAGATACAGCATGAATGGGGGAGGGGCAGAAGGAGAGAGAGAGTCTGAAGCAGGCTCTGCACTATCCGCACAGAGCCCGACATGGGGCTCAAACCCTCGAACCATGAGATCATAACCTGAGCTAAAACTAAGAGTCAGATGCTAAACCATCTGAGCCACGCAGGAACCCCTGATCATGTCAATTTCTTAATCAAAGGATCAGAGATAGTGTCACCTGGAATGGCACAAATCAACATGTGTTTCTGATGTGATATATTAAGAACACAGTGTTACTTTCATGGTATTTTTCCCCAAAAGGAAACCTGAATTTAATCATGAGGAAACATCAGACAAACCCACACTAAGAGACCTTCTCATTTAACTGGTCTGTGTTCTTCAAATACGAAGGTCATGAAAGACCCACAAGCATTAGTAACTTTTTCAGATTTTTTTTTTAAGAGCGTTTAAAGAAGCTTGTCAATTCAGTGCAACACATAGTCTTGAATGTTGTTTTGCTAAAGAAGATTATTGGGACAAGTGGTAAAATTGGAAAGGGGTTAGTAAATAATAGTATTATGCCAAAGTTAATATCCTGATTTCTATAATTTTACTATCGTAATGTAAATGAATGTTCTTCTTTTTAGGAAATACACAGTAAAGTTATTTAGGGGTAAAGGCAACATGTTTACAATTTATTCTCCTGCAGTTCAGAAAATTTCTATCTGTTCATCTGTACATAAATTATTTTTAAAAATATGGTAGGGCGTTAACATTTAGGAAATCTAGATGAAGGGTAAATGGGATCTTTTTACTATTTGTGCAACTTTTCTGTTGTCAGAATAAATTGAAACATATAAATATATGTCAACAAAAGCAATCCTTCAGGTACTTCCATAGCTTTCAGGTTAATTTTAAGTATAGTGTAGTGTCCCAGGGCCTTCAGTGTTTGGCTGCTGCCCACTTCTCTATGCTCATCTTCCAGCACATCTCTGCCCAAACCCTCAGCTGACTTCTTGCTTCTTCATGCTGTTTTATCTATCCTAGAAGTGCCCGCGGTACTCCACGATGCTAACTCATCATTCTTTAAACCAGTGATTCTGAACCAGGGGTGAATTTGTCCCCCAGAGGATATATGTCAAAGTGTGAAGACATGTTTGGTGTCAAAACTGGAGGGTTACTACTGACTGCTGATGGGTAGAGGAAAGGGATGCTGCTAAACACTCTTCAGTGCAGGCCAGCCCCCTACAACAAGGAACTTTCTTTGAGAACCCTTGTTCCAAATATACCTTGAGAGCCATTGAGCCATTTCTCAGAAGTCCTTCTAACCATCCCCAGTCTGATTTAGAACTCCATCTTCTGTGTTCCTCCAGTAACTTTTGCTTTTTCTCTTCCTCAGCACTTACTTCATGGGGACTAGTTTTCATTAGGCTTATTGGTGTATAGATAGCACTCAGTAAATGTTTATTAAATGAATACTGTGTAAATTATTTTACAGTAAGGTTTTTGCCTAAACTTTTTAAAGGTTTTGTTTTGTTTTTGAGAGAGAGAGGGAGAGAGTAAGCAAATGAGCAGAGCAGAGGAGGGTCAGAGAGCGAGGGGGACAGAGGATCCAAAGCAGGACCCAGGCTAACAACAGTTAGCCCAATGTGGCACTTGAACTCATGAAGTCGTTACATAAGACTTCTCATGGCAAGGCCCTTGCTTGCCACTCGAGCCTTGTATCTAGTCACTCCCTCTTTTGGATCCTTCAGGTCAACCTTTTTTTGAACACTTAAGAGTTCCCTGAGCCGATCATATGCCCTCTTACTTCTGGGCTTTTTTTCTTTTTTTTCAATGTTTTATTTATTTCTGAGAGAGACACACAGCGTGAGGAGGGGAGGGTCAGAGAGAGATGGAGACACAGAGTCTGAAACAGGCTCCAGGCTCTGAGCTAGCTGTCAGCACAGAGCCTGATGTGGGTGATGTGGGGCTCGAACCCACGAACCGTGAGATCATGACCTGAGCTGAAGTCGGACGCTTAATTGACTGAGCCACCCAGGTGCCCCACTTCTGGGCTTTTGAGTGTGCTGTTTCATGTGCCTAAAGCCCTATTGCTAATGCCCTACCCTGCCCCCATGCCACCTAGCTACTCTTGTTTGTCCTGTTGGTGACACTTACTCTTGTAAAACTTCTCAAAATCACCCTCTCCTTTCAGCCTGGGTTAGGTATCCATGTCTTTTGCCCTCATAATGCCCTGTCAAGCATGAACCACTTCTTTTTTTTTTTCTTTTTTTAGTTTTTAAAGTTTGTTTATTTTGAGAGAGAGAGGGAGGGAGGGAGAGAGAAAGAGAAGGAGAGGGGCAGAGGGAGAGGGAGAGAGAGAATCCCAAGCAGGCTCCACGCTATCAGCACAGAGCCCAACACAGGCGAACTCACAGACTGTGATATCATGACCTGAGCCGAAACCGAGAGTTGGACACTTAACTGTCTGAGCCACCCAGGCGCCCCTATCACCTCATATTTTAAATGTATGCTTATGTAATATCTTCTACCATTAGAATTAAGTTTCTTGAGTCAGATTTCTTAACCCCAAATGACTGGCACGTAGTAGGCTTTCAATGAATAATTGTTGGACAAATGAATGGATCTTGGCCATGAGTTCCAAATTGGCACATACTTGTAGGCTTCTTCTGAACTGGTCCCTTTTTCCTCTTGCTCCTTCCAGGACCTGGGTTTCAGTGATGAGACATGGGGTATGATGTAACCCGTTTCCAGGGGGATGTTGACGAAGACCTTATCTGTCCTATTTGCAGTGGTGTCTTGGAGGAGCCTGTCCAGGTGAGTCGGTCTGGTGGCAGGTTTGGTGGGGCAATAGATGAGAGTAGAGCTAATAGAAAATGTTCATAGGTAATGGGACCAGTGGGAAGTCACTGTGTTCTGCCCACCCCCCCACGCATCCTTCCCCCCACCCCCACCCCCCGGCAACACACACATACAGAATAGAGGTTTGGTGCAGAGGAGCAGTGGCAGCTGCAAAAGGAATAGGGCCTTTCAGAGTCTGTCTAGAGGTGGATGCTACAGAAGTCCAGTGCTTCAGATTTTCTTCTGAGGTCACTCTGAGATTTATTCTACTGTAAAATGGTCACCTGTTTTCTGTCTTCTGACAGTAGTTTAGGAACTTCCCTCTGCAGGGGCTCTGACTAGGTTCCATGTTCCTACTGATGGCGTAAACTTCTGGACTCTCCTAATAAGTTCTCTCTGTATTTTGATGATGTAGTGTTTCAATTAATCAGCCAGTCTGCCTGCAACCCTTTTCATCCTGCCTACTATCTAACAAATAGGGAGTGGGGAACTGTATGTACTGTCCTCTTTTCTTGAGATTTACTGGAAAAATCAATTAAAACTTTTTTTTTAACTTTTTAAATGTTTGTTTATTTTTGAGAGAGAGATAAAGTGCAAGCGGGGAAGGGGCAGGCAGAGAGGGAGACAGAATCCGAAGTAGACTCCAGGCTCTGAACTGTCAGCACAGAGTCTGACGTAGTGCTCGAACTCACAAACCGCAAGATCATGACTTGAGCTGAAGTCAGTCGCTTAAGGACTGAGTCATGTAGGCACCCCTTAATTTTTTTTCAACGTTTATTCATTTCGGAGAGAGAGAGGGAGAGAGTGAGCAGGAGAGGGGCAGAGAGAAGGAGACACAGAATCCGAAGCAGGCTCCAGGCTGCATAGAATCTGATGCAGGGCTCAAAGTCACAGACCCTGAGATCATGACCTGACCCGAAAGTCAGATGCTTAACTAACTGAGCCACCCAGGTGCCCCATGGAAAAAACAACTAAAGAATTTTTTTTTTTTTAATTTTTAAATTTACATCCAAGTTACATATAGTGCTGGAATAACCAATTTTTGATGCAGCCGCATACTCTGCATTTTGATATGAAAGCTGCCACCTTCAATAGGTCATTTCTCTACAAGCTTTTTCAGACTAGTATCAGTTTTATCTTCCTGGGGCAAATATGAGGAGAAACTCATGATTAACAGGCAAATATAGTAAGTGAGATGAAGGCTTACCAGTAGCATTCACGGGACATCATCATGCATGGTTCTTATTGCTTGTCCTCTGTAAATAACCAGTTAATCCTCTGGCAGTCCTGGCTGGCTAGACATAATCCTATTTTCCAAACCAGGACACTAATCAGTGAGATCTCACGGCCCTTCCTCCACTCACTGCTTATACAGCTCCCGGGGGCTCCTCTTGATCCTTTGAATTTATTCTTAATCCAGTTTTCAACCACTCAAAGGAGCACACATGCCTGAGCTGACTGAAAATCAGACTGCATTCCAATGGCAGCCAGCCCTCAACCTATCCCCTGTCTGGGCCTTTGCAGCCTCCTGCCAATAGAACCGATTGGCTGGGTGTGGATCAAGCTGTCCTGGTGGTGTCAAGAGGTCATGGGGTGTGTCACTTCCTTCCCTTCCCCTGGCAGGGCCTTGTCTGTTTTTTTGCACTATCATTTGAGGTGAGTCACATGTGGAGAAGTCAATGTTGGTTCACGACAAGATAAGTCAGGAGCTGCCCCCCACCTCCACCTTCTGACGAGTAGGCCAGGGAGATCTCAGGATGCCCGGTTACCAGACACACACCCAAGGGTAGAAGGCACCTGCTAGAAATACTGATTTTCCTACGTCATGTTTATTTGATTTTTGAATAGGTAATAAGTTCATATGGTTCAGAAATCAAAACAATAGAAAGAGGTATACCATGAGAACTCTTACTCCATCCTTCTTCCAGCCCATGTAATCTCTCCACAGTTAACTCTTATTATTAGTTCATTTGCCCAACTTCTTACACAGAGTGTAGCACATTCTGTATGCTTCTAGAGGAGTGGCAGAATTGGATAGAATGGTCATGAAAGAAGTGACAGTTGGGCTGAAATCTGAATGATAGGGGGATGTTCATGCTAGGATTTAGAGGAAGAGCATTTCGGGCAAAGAGGAGCAGCGAAACCAGAGATGCTGAGGCAGGAGTGAGGTGGGTATAGACAAAGAACAGAAAGGAGGCCAGACTGGCCTAAACACAGCTCTGGGAGCATGGTGTGAGGTGAAGAGAGGTCAGAGGCACAGGGCCAGATCAAGCAGAATTTTATAGGCCCTGAGTAGGAGTTTGGACTTATTTTAAGTACAAAGGGAAGCCATTGTAAAGTTTAAACAGAGGAGTGATATGATCTAGTTTGCATCTTTAAGTGATCACTGTGGCTGATGAATATAGAATGAATTATAAAGGGGTGAGGTAGAAGTAGGGAGACCAGTTAGAAGACATATTTAATAATAGAGGTGAGAGATGATAGCTTGAACTGGGTTAGTGGCAGGACAGATGGGGAAAAGTAGACAAATGTAGGATTTTGGCGGGGGGGCGGGGGCAGGAGATAGGATCTGTAAAGATTTTGAAAAGAATCAAATATATCTTTGAAAAATAAAAAACTACTGATAGTTGCGTTCATGACATTGTGAATGACTCCTTCCCTTATGAAGCCTTTTCTTTGTTTCCGTCTTCGTGCCTGTGTGTGCACCTTGGACACAGAACCATCTTGTATTGTAAGCACCTAGCAGAGTGTTTGGGAAATAGCACACCATTCGTTCATCAGCAACTACTAAGTGCCTAGTGTATATTTGTCCAATGCCAGAGGCCAGGTACTGTCTTCCCAGAGAGCCAGGGAACCCTTTCACTTTGAGGGATTAAACTTTAGAGGTTATCTGAGTTATCCAAGAAGTAAGCTGAAATACAATCTTTATGAAATTGAAAAAAATGTGATTCTGTGAGAAAATGACCCTGTTTGGGAGGATAGGCCTTGGCATTGGGATTCAGGGCAATGCCTCAGGTCAGCCCTCATAAAATAGGAACTTGGGCCCACATAGAGAGGACTCTTAACTTCTCACCAGGAGTTGCAGGCGCTTGTTTTGTTTTACTTTCTTACATTGCATTTTTGCCAGCAAATCTCTTCCCTATGTCCTCTCTACTCATCCTTCAAGACTCATATCAAATTCTGGCCTCCATAAATACCTGCCCTGATTTGCCTAGCCTAGAAAGATCTCACCCTCCTCTGGATTTCTTTGGCAGTTATCGTGCATGCAATCCAGTTGGCAATTAATAATCGACTGCCTTGTGTCATCTCTCCTATTGTCCTGGCACGTTATTTATACCTCTTATTGTTACATAACTTTTTACTTGTTTGTCTTGTGTCACAATCCATTTGGAATCTTGAGCACAGGAAACCTATCTGAAGCCTGTCCCTACATAATGTCTTGCCCATAGTGCATCTGTCCTTCCCTGTGACCCCAGGGACCTCTGGCCCTGGAAGCTGCTCAGAGGCTTGAGTAGCTTTGCGGAGTTATCATATTCAGGCTCTTAGCTCCAGCTAATTCTCTTGTGCCCCTTTTGCCCTGCTCTCCCTTCTAGGCACCTCATTGTGAGCATGCTTTCTGCAATGCCTGCATCACCCAGTGGTTTTCTCAGCAGCAGACGTGTCCAGTGGACCGTAGCGTTGTGACGGTCGCCCACCTGCGCCCAGTACCTCGGATCATGCGGAACATGTTGTCAAAGCTGCAGATTGCCTGCGACAACGCTGTGTTTGGCTGTAGTGCTGTTGTCCGGCTTGACAACCTCATGTCTCACCTCAGCGACTGTGAGCACAACCCCAAACGGCCTGTGACCTGTGAACAGGGCTGCGGGTGAGATTACTGCCCTTCCTCTGCCCCACACAGATAAGGGCCTTCCTGTTTATAACCCCCCCTCACCCCCACCCCCTGTTCCCGGATCCCCTGCTCACCAGCCAAGGAGGTCTCCTGTGCATGTACACAAGGAGTGTCCTTGGCCTCCCTGGCTCTCTGCCCCAAGATCTCACTTTTGTGCTGCTTTTCCAACTATGATCTTTCTGCTCTTTCTTTAAGGAAAGACATGAGGCAGGAGTTCCCAATCTGTGTGCTAACACTAAGGATTGATTTCCTTTATTCTTCCCTTTCAGCCCAGTACTACTTTCCCTTTGTCACATTGACTGCTCTAATTTCTAGCCTTCTCATATTTCCCCTTGCCCTGTTATTTTTCTTTCTTTGGGGTGTGAAATAGTTGATTAAATGCAAAGAGCTAGGGCTGTGAATCTAGGGCTTCTCAGAAGGAATGAGTGCACAGGTAGAATCCGTAGGAGGAAAGGAGAGCCATGTGACAGGTGAAACACTGTCTTAGAAAGGGAAAGAGGCCCAGAGAAGGCAGATAGTAAAGGGTTGTGGGGGGAGCTGTGGAGAAGGAAATGAAGGGAATAAGTAAGAGGAATAAGTAGGAGAAAACCCTCTCAGCAGTTTTGTGCCTTTGCCCACATGTCCCATTGAGTGCCCCTGTTCTGCTTATTTCTCACCCTGTGTGGCAGCCTGGAGATGCCCAAAGATGAGCTGCCAAACCACAATTGCATTAAGCACCTGCGCTCGGTGGTACAGCAGCAACAGACACGCATCGCAGAGCTGGAGAAGACCTCAGCTGAGCACAAACACCAGCTGGCGGAGCAGGTAGGGCCCAAAGAACGTAGAGGAGAACGTGTCCTTGATAAGCAGATGAGTGTGTGTAACAAGTGTGTAACTATGTATAACTACAGGCGTGTATCTGTGTATATGTGCAGAGAGCCATGGGTGAGAAGCATCAGTGTGCACATGCAGCTCGGTGCCTGTGCTTGTGTGTCTGGGTGAGTGGATACTCTGCCTGTGGCTTGGTAGGGAATCAGATTGGAGCTCTTCTCCCTTTCTTTCATTCCGTCAATGTCATTCATTCACCTAACATTCATCAAATGCCTTCTCTAAGAAGCTACTCGGCTGAGCACTAGGGATACAGCTGTGAATGAGACAGTTATATCCCTGTCTTCCTGAAGTGTATAGGTCTCGTTTTCCCTCAGATCTCTCAGTTGCCCTCGTTCTCAGACTAACTTCTGTCTTTCATCTGTTGTCTGCCCTAACCATCATCTGTGGTTCTCCTTCCCTCCAACAGAAGCGAGATATCCAGCTGCTAAAGGCATACATGCGTGCAATCCGCAGTGTCAACCCCAACCTTCAGAACCTGGAGGAGACAATTGAATACAATGAGATCCTAGAGTGAGTGTCACTCAGGATATGGAGTCACTTACTCCCCGTCCTGGCACTGATCCCTGAAAGGAGGAAATGCTGGGGATGGCAGAAGGGGGTGGGGGTGGGTAATAAAAGGGCTGGGCTGGGGCTACCGCTTTTCAGATGTTGGGATGAAGGAAAGGGACAGAGGAGAAGAGGGTAACTTTCAACCCTACTATAGGATCTCTTATTCTTTTGGGTGGATGGAAGGGAAAGCTTACCCAAGAATGCAGTTCATCCAGACTTAGGTGAATACCCACATGTACAGAGCCCTGTATTAAAGGCCATGGAGTGCTAGGAGGGCCAAAAAGAAATAGACATTGTCCCTGTTGTCAGGTAGCTTACAACCAGAGAAGACAGTGAGTGCAAATCCGGGGGGTGGGGGGTAAAATCAGCATAAACAAGCGAAGTCTAAAATCCCTTTCAGTGCTAGAATCGTCTGCAATTCATAGACTAAATTCGTAAGTGTGAATCAATATATATAGTGTAAACAGCGCTTGTGGGACACAGTCTAGAGGAATAATCGCTTTATCTGATAAACACTTGTTGAGCACTTAGTATGTGCTAGGCACTGTGTGTGTTTAGCATTGGTATTTTTAAGAAAAATGACAGAAATTCTGCACTTTTGAGTTTCATGTGGTGACTCACATAGGACCAACTAGGGAAGGGTTTGGAGTTTCTGAACCAATGATGGAAAAAGGAAGATGGAAGATTAGGGTTAAGCTGAGCGCCAAGTGGGGTGGTCATTGCTTTTAGGAGAAAAAGCCAATGCAAAGAAGGGGCATGAGCTGGAATGACCACCTTCAACCCCCTCCACACAGGTGGGTGAACTCCCTGCAGCCGGCAAGAGTGACCCGCTGGGGAGGGATGATCTCGACCCCAGATGCCGTACTCCAGGCTGTTATCAAGCGCTCCCTGGTGGAGAGTGGCTGTCCTGCCTCTATTGTCAACGAGCTGATTGAAAATGCCCATGAGCGTAGCTGGCCCCAGGGTCTGGCCACACTAGAGACAAGACAGATGAACCGGCGCTACTATGAGAACTACGTGGCCAAGCGCATCCCTGGCAAGCAGGCTGTTGTCGTGATGGCCTGTGAGAACCAGCATATGGGTGACGACATGGTGCAGGAGCCAGGGCTTGTCATGATATTTGCGCATGGCGTGGAAGAGATATAGGAGATCTCGACGGGCCAGCAGGAAGAGATGGCAATCAGAAAGCCCATCGCTCCAGCATCTGGTCCCTGAGTTCTCCCTACTATCCATAGTACCGTGACTTACACACGGGCCACACGTTTCCCTGCTCTTCAGGCACTGAAGGGCCCCGGGGCGCTTTGCTCAGCCTTTCAGGTGGGAAACCCAGATTCCTTCCTTTTACGTAATTTCTTCCCCTAAGATGTCTGTAAATTTTCAGTCAGTTTGGGAAAGTCCTCACCTCTATATCTGTTTTCCTGCCTAGGGTCCCTGGTTCTAGATATTTTTAGAAAGCACAAAGAATTTTCTCTAGAGGATCAGGGTGGAGTGAGGAATATCTAATCGTTCCCCCTCCTCCAAAACCAGGGAGTCAGAGCAGGCAGGCCTGTTGACACGGAGCAGCACTTAGAGGGCAGCTCTGGGGAGCAGACATCCTGAAGAAATGGTAGAGGTGGAATCAAAACCCTAGAAATAAATAATGAGGCCAGTAACTGGCCCTTAGAGAAAGACTGGACCTCTGTGCCAAGCAATACCCTGTCTAGCCCACCTTACAGGTGCAGGCTGCTGCTGGTTCTGCAGGTGTGCAGGTTAGGATGCTGAAAACTTCCAGATGAGCTCTTCTTTCCTACATTTTCTCATAATTAGGGAACGACAGGGTTGGAGGAAGGGGATTAGTCTATTGAGGTGGATGTGTTCAGCAAGCAGCAGCTGCCTGGCTTTTGCTGAAATCAAGTAGGCACTGCCTCTGGCGTGGGCCATAATAGTTCCATAGACCCCTCTCTAGCCCTGTGATTGTAACTAGTTATTTTGATAATTCCATTTGGCCATTGTTTGTTTGTATTTCCTTCTCTCTCTCTCTCTCTTTTTTTTTTTTTTAAGAATGGCCTGGTTATGGCTACCCCACTTTTCCAGTCCAGCCACATTGTTGGCAGTCTAATTTATTTACTTTTTTTTTTTTTTTTTAAGAAAGGAAAAAGAAAAAAAAATTAACAAAGTTTAAAACTTTCTTTTGATATTCCTATTGTGGGGATTCTGGATAGGGTGGGACGGGACAGGGATGGGATCTGTTTTATATTTTTCTTTTTCAGGACAACCTTTGGCTTTAATATAGGAAGGGCCCAAGGGAGTCCTTGGCTGAACTTATGTCTGCCCCAACCCTCCATGACCCCATCTGAGATGAGGCGCTTCCTTTGTTATTTCTGTGATGGATGTGACAGTCCAACATCGATGCCTGTACCCTCTGGAGAACTTTGCTCCAGTCCTTCCAAGGGTCTCCTTGTAAAACTCTGTATTTAGAGTATTAATTTTGAAGACATTGCCACCCCCAACCCCCAGTTTCCTTGGAGATACATAGTTGGGTTCTAAGCTTCACCAGGCAAGATGGGAGAGACATGATATCTCTGTGTCTCTGAGTACAGGCTGTGCTTTGTTTTACCTATGCCCTCTGAGAACTTCAGCTCCATTTTAGGCTACCCAGGCATTCCTTGACCCCTAGCTAGGGGGGCTGGTAGAGCTAGAGAAGGGGAGGGATAGAGAGTGTGATTATTCTAATATACCTGTGGGAGTGGGGCTGAAGAGATATGGCCACATAACAGTTTCTTCTCTCTTTGGAGTTTTATTCCGGGCCACCTTGCTTGCTGTAGGTCTGGGGAGTTGGGTCATGGCTCCACTGGGAATGGGGTGGAGGGATACAGCTTGAAGGGAGTAGGGAACAGTCCTATGTTCCAGCTCCAGGACATTGTGCTCAGGAATTTGAAAACGCTGCTATACTTAGTCCGGTTACTACATTTCTTCCACTCCCCTCTGACCCTGCCTGCCTTACCGAGGCCCATACTCTCCTGTCGTCACCCTCGGACAGAGCCAGGAAGCTCAGTTAAGGCTTCCCTCCCCTTTGCACTAGTGTCTCTTCGGGTTGCTGGTTGTGTTATATGTGCTGTTCCATGGTGTTGACTGCACTAATAATAAACCTTTTACTCAACTCTCAATTCTTAATTCAACATCACTCCCCTTCTTGTGATGCTTTCTCCTCTGCTTTGCCCTTTCTCTCATCTTGATTCCCCTTATTTCTTGCTTTATAATCTACCTTTGTCATAGAACTAACCTCTGTTTTGGGAGGATGCCTGTCTGGGAGTGTGCACTTCACTTATTGCTCTGTGTGCGCTCCTCCCACATTCCCTCCTGTCTCCTGTTCTATAGAAGCCAACATGTTCTCTCCAGAGATCTGAACTGTGGTTTTCTTCCCAGGGTTTGCCTTTGACCAAATTCCATGTCTTCCCTAAGCGTTCCTGGGATCTTAGGACAGTTTCTACAGAAGATATGCGTGCATCCTTCTCCACTGTCCCACAGGCTTCTTTGCTTTGGAATCTGGGATTCCATCGCAGTCAGGGAGGCCTCCACTGCCCAATGTCTCCTAACCAGGGAAGTAAATATGAGGAAAGGAACCTGGAATGACGGCACCTGCTGTGGTTGTAGAATCTTGATAAACCCTTTCACGGGGATTTGCTGCCACCTTCTCCCTGCCATGAGAAAAAGAAAATCTTTGCCCCCAGTAGTATATTTGCAATTTGTTGAGCATTTATGATGCACCTCATGTAAATCTGCTAGTACTCTAGATTCTCTGGTGTGGATAAAAAGCAAAAGGGCATGAGGACATTCCTGTGCTCACTGAATCTATTACACTTTCATGCGCGCAAGGTCTGATTATAAAACACTGGTGAACACATCGTGTATATATATGGTGTCTAGTGATACCAGGGAATGAATGCTCTTTTTTTTTCCTGAAGCTCGTTCAGAATTACTCTCAGAACCTGTTCCTTATTCTTGTCAATGTCACAAATGGTGCCAAATCTTTCTTTTCGGGTGTTTTGGTTTTTGGAAACAATATTCATTGAATATCTATTCTGCAAGGAACTCAGGTGGGGATGGGTGTCATGTAGCACAATGGTACCGACTTTCAAAGAACGCATTCCATAATGAAGAGAAGTATATAGGACATAATAAATGTGGTAAGTAGATCTACAAGCAATATGTGAGCAGAGGGAAGATAAAGGCACCGATTCTACTGGGTACCAAGAAACGTTTAGGAGAAGTGGTATTTGTTCTAGGTCAGAGGTTGACAAACTAAAGCTTGCATCCTGCTGCCTGATTTTGTAAAAATGTTTTACTGGAACACAGCCATGCCCATTTGCTTATGTATTGTCTGTGGCTGCTTTTAGATTCCAACAGCAGAGCTGAGTAGTTGCCACGAAACTATGACCCACAAAGCCTAAAATATTTGCTACTTGGCCCTATAGAAAGTTTGCCAGCCCATTGTAGACTTTTAAGGTCAGGAGAATGGGTGGGGAAATACAGAGTTGGTTTTGATTTTTCACTTCAGTATGTTAATTTGAAGAATCGGAACATTTTCTTACATTGCCAACATAACATGCTTAAAATTAACAGTCTGTATTCACATTTCCCCAACTGTCTCAAGAAAAGTACTTTTAGAGCTAATATTTGTCCAGCCCTGGGTCCAATCCAGGAGCCTTGTATTACACCAGGTTAGGTGTCTTTTTCTTAATCTAGATTCCTGCAAGTCTTTTTTTGTAACACTGATTTGTTGAAGAGACTGGGCCAGTTGTCCTGGAGAGAGTGGCCTTTTGGATTTGATTGATTGCTTCTTCGTGGTGCCCTTTAACTTTCTCTACCCTGTTTTTGCTAAACAGAATTTTATCTAGAGCCTGAGAGATTCAAGTCAAACAGTTCTGAGGACAGAAAACATCACAAGAGACATGTTGTATGTTGTGTAACATCAGGAGATAGGCCCAGTTGTCCCACCATTAGCCTGACTCTTCATGGTATAGTTGTATGGTTGGGAGGTGTTTTTAAAGGTTGGCAGCTTTAAAAGCTTCTCAGGTTCCCTGAGAAGGGGGCAGCTGGCCAGGCAGCTCAGGTGGGTTGCTGCTGTACAGCAACAGGGGCCCCATATTGCCAAATCTTACTGCTTCTCAAGAACCATTGGACATCCTAGTGTTTATTCTAAGTACCACAGACTTTAAATGTTGGCTCTATTAAGAAAAAATATATTATGTGGGCAAAAAAAAAAAAAAACAGGGTCTGCCAGTTTGCAACCTCTGCTTTAGGTTGAGATCGTAGCGTGAATAAAAAGTTATGGTGAAGGCTATATTGAAGAAGGAAGACACTCGTGCAATCCAGAGCATAGAGTTTGTCGAAGGAAATGGTGGAAGATAAGACTAGAAATAATTTGAGGCCAATTCTTGGGAGGCTTTGAATACGTGGCAGGGAATTTGGTCTTTAATTTTTCAGGTAAGTTTTTGACAAGAGGAGTTAACTTCCAACTCATGATTCTGGTGGCCATGGGAAGACAGTGAAAAATTGGTGACAGTACTAAATTAGCTTTGCAGTAACTCATGCAAGAGAATGAGAGCTTGAAAGAGGAGGAAAGAGGATGAGACACAGGGAAGAAAGTTGACAAGCCGTAGTAACTGACTAGATTCACTCAGCCAACACTTAGGGCTTACCTGTCATGTGCCACACATGACATGTATTTGAGATATACAATTAATTGAGAAACAAGTCCTTAAAGGAATTTGCAGTTTAGTAGGCCACATACACTTGAACAAGTAAAAGGAAATATAGAATAATATATTGCTAATAAGGACTCAGTACAATGGGATGATGAGGAGGAAAGGGGTCAACTACCTACTACCAATGGTGAGATGGTTCACAGAAGAATCACTTGAGGGTGGGGGGGGCACCGGTCTAACTCTTGATATTTGGCTCAGGTCATGATCTTGTCATGAGATCGAGCCCTGTGTCCGGCTCTGCACTGAACATGGAGCCTGCTTAAGATTCTCTAGGGGCGCCTGGGTGGCTCCGTTGGTTAGTGTCCAAATCTTGATTTTGGCTCAGGTCATGATCTCATGGTTCATGAGTTCGAGCCCAGCATCGAGTCTGCTTGGGATTCTCTCTCTGCCCCTCCCTCCTCTCTCTCAAATAAACATTAAAAAAAAAAAAAGTTCTCTCTGTGCCTCTCCCCCACTTATTCTTTCTCAAACATTTTTAAAAATGACCTTGAAAAAAATCGTTTAAAAGAAGAATCACTGGAACTGAGCTCTGGACAAGATCAGATCTGGCAGTGAGGAAAGAGGGTTGAACGTTTATTGTGAGTTGGCATTATTGTATCAAACATCTCATCATCCCAAGTTTTTATCAAAAGGCACTTATTGCCATCTCTATTTTCTATGGAATGGACAAAATTCCTTTAGATAATGATGAGAACTGGGATTTGAACCAAGAAAGTCAGAGCTTGAGTTCCTAATTACTGCACATAGGGTCACGTAACCAAAGATGAGTCACAGGTAAAGACAGGTTTCTCATCTGTGAGAATGAAAGGGTCATTATTAACCTGAATAGGGAGGAGGAGAGGATGAGCAGGTTTCAAGGGTAAAGTAATGATCTCAGGTGGGGAACATTGGGTTGAAGATACTATCACATAAAGGTTTTTAGCCAATAAATGGAAACGTGGATGTGGGGTTTAAAAGCATGAAGTGGATTTGGGAGTTACCAGCCCAAAGGTGATGAAGAAATTCTAGGAATGAATGCAAACACCAAAAGGTCAGGAGGAAGGCTAAGAATGGGACTGTGGGGGGAATTCCAGAAGTAATCTGGAAAATAGATACATGACAAAATTGGCTACTGCTGCAGCTTTTTTAAAAAATAATTTCGGGGGTGCCTGGATGGCTCAGTCAGTTAAATGTCTGACTTTGGCTCAGATCGTGATCTCACAATTCATGGGTTTGAGGGGCCCCTGGGTGGCTCAGATGGTTAAGCATCCGACTTCTGCTCAGGTCATGATCTCACAATTCATGAGTTCAAGCCCCGTGTCGGGCTCTGTGCTGACAGCTAGCTCAGAGCCTGGAGCCTGTTTCAGATTCTGTGTCTCCCTCCCTCTCTGACTCTCCGCTTCTCACGCTGTCTCTCTCTCTCTCTCAGAAATAAATTAAAAAAAAAAACAAAAAAACAATTCATGGGTTTGAGCCCCGTGTCAGGCTCTGTGCTGACTGCCAGCTCAGAGCCTGGAGACTGTTTCAGATTCTGTATCTCCCTCTCTCTGACTCTCCCCTGCTCTTGCTGTCTCTCTCTCTCTCTCTCTCTCTCTCTCACTCTCTCTCTCTCAGTAATAAATAAAACATTTTAAAAATTTTAAGAAAAAAATAATTTTGAAAGAATTTTTTTTGTATTATAATAATAGGATTATGCTGTATGTGTTTTGAGTACACTTGACAATCATTTAAATGTGGCTCATAAACTAGCTGTGAAGGAGTTCCAGAAATGTTTTGTGCAATGACAGCATTCCATAGCACATAAAAGCAATTATGGATAAGATCTCATAATTTGTCACGATAAGTTTAGTATAGGAAGGCATTAGCTACTTGGTTATAAGTGAAGGAACTTCATGAGAGGAGATAATTAGATTGTCAACAGAGATGTTCAGCCTGATTAAATTGGGAGTATCTTGCTGAGAAGAAAAAGGATTTTTTAGAAATGTCAGATTTAGGCAGGGTGTGTTGATCATAGGAGCATGTTTCTGTTTTTGTTTTAAACATCAAATTTTAGGGGCACCTGGGTGCCTCAGTCAGTTGAGCCTCTGACTTCAACTCAGGTCATGATCTCGTGGTCCATGAGTTTAAGCCCAGTGTCAGGCTCTGTGCTGATGGCAGACTGAGGCCTGCTTCTGATTCTGTGTCTCCCTCTCTCTGCCCCTCCCCCACTTGTACTCTCTCTCAAAAATCAACATTAAAAAAGTAAACAATTTATTACTATCACAATATTGGGGCACCTGGGTGGCCCAGTCTTTTGGGCTTCTGACTCTTGATTTCAGCTCAGGTCATGATCTCTTGGTTCCTGAGATCAAGCCCTGAGTTGTGTTTTGTGCTGACAGCTTGGAGTCTGCTTGCGATTCTGTGTCTCCCTCTCTGCCCCTCCCTGTCTTGCACACTCTCTCTCTGAAAATAAACAAGTAGATAAATATTTTTTTAATGTTTATTTTATTTATTTTTGAGGAAGAGAAGGGGAGGGGCAGAGAGGGGGACAGAGAATCTGAAGCAGGCTCCATGCTGACAGCAGAGAGCCCAATGCAGGGGTTCGAACCCATGAACCATGAGATCATGCCCTGAGCCGAAGCTGGAAGCTTAACCAACTAAACCACCCAGGGGCCCCTAAATAAACATTAAAAAACCAAAAACAACAACGAAAAAAAATCCCACACGATGTTTAAATGTGGTTACTACAGGAAAAAAGAGTATTTACTCTCTTGAGCAACACTTGATTTATAAAACCTCCTAAAATCTTAATTTTCCAGTAAAACCCTTCCCTACCATTTTCTTGGTAAAAAGAGTAATTTTATTTATTTATTTAATGTTTTATTTATTTCTGAGAGAGAGAGAGAGAGGTTGACACAGAATCTGAAGCAGGCTCCCGGCTCTGAGCTGTCAGCACAGAGCCTGATGTGGGGCTCGAACCCACAAACTGTGAGATCATGACTTGAGCCAAAGTTGGACACTTAACCGACTGAGCCACCCAGGCGCCACTAAAAAGAGTAATTTTAAAATTCAGTGTAAAACACTTCCATTCTATACATGTGGGCCAATATTAATCCTTGCCCTTACACAAATATTTTTTTCTTTTCACAAATACTTTTAAGTTTTTGTTCCGGGTTCCCCAGTGAGCAGAATAAGAAGGGCAAGAGGAGATGGGGCAAAAGAGAGCTTAAGAGTTGTCTGATTAGGGGCATCTGGGTTGCTCAGTCCGTTAAGTGTCCGACTTTGGCTGAGGTCATGATCACACAATTTGTGAGTCTGAGCCCCGCATCAGGCTGTGTGCTGACAGCTCAGAGCCTGGAGCCTGTTTCAAATTCTGTGTCTCCCCCTCTCTCTGCCCCTCCCATGCTCATGCCTTGTCCTCTCAATAATAAATAAACATTAAAAATTAAAAAAAGAAAGTTGTCTTGTTAGCCTCAAGGTCAAAATATAATCAAGAATAACACTGCAACAACCCCTTCTGGAGCCCTCAGATTTCCAAATAACTCTGAGCCTCAGAGTCTTTGATTCGACTGGAACACTGTAGATCATCCAGATCAACTACCATCATGAGGCCAAAGCTATGAACAAGATACTGTACACCCTCTGCTTGATTGTCTCTGAGAAAGAAACTCAACCATCATCTGAGTCGCGTGGTGGACACCTCATATTACTAGATATTGAGTCCAAATCTACCTTCCTGAAGGTACTTACTGAAACCCAATAGTATCTTCTATAATTGTTTCTGTGTGACAACCTTCCAATTAGATGAAAAGTTGGCTGTCATGTCCTTCCTGAGGCTTCTTCATGGTAAACAGCCATAGTTTTCTTTCAGTATGATTTCAAGTTCCTTCTCAATTCTGGCAATTGGCCGATGGAAACCCTTGAGAACTCTCAGGGCAAAACCAATGTGACTCCTATAGTGGTGAAACTGGGGCACCTGGAAGGCCACTGTAACAAATTAGATGATGTGATGAAAGAAAATGATTGATGAATGATAGGCATGGGAGGAAAGAAAATGCCAGGTTAATTCTTAAGCTTGGGAACTAGATGGAATTGAGAGAATGGTATTAACAGAAATGGGAAAAGTCGAGAATGTCATCCTGGGAAAGGAGCAGTTTGTATTTGGGGTGACATTAGGTCAGCTGTGCAGTCATAGGTAGCTAAAGGTACAGGACCAAAGTTTGGTTTGAGATTTTTGTCTTAGGAGTAGGGAAAAGAATGGTGCTTTGGGCAGAATTCCTCAGAAGGAGGGAGAAAACAAAGGAGATGGAGAAACAATGTTCTAAGACAAGAACAAGAGAAGTCCAGGGGTACCTGGGTGGCTCAGTCGGTTAAGCCTCCGACTTCGGCTCAGGTCATGATCTCACGGCTTGTGGGTTCGAGCCCCGCATCGGACTCTGTGCTGACAGCTAGCTCAGAGCCTGGAGCCTGCTTCGGATTCTGTGTCTCCCTCTCTCTCTCACCCTCCCCTGCTCACGCTGTC